GACTTTTCCTGTGATTTCCTGTCAGTGATCAACTGCCTTGTGAGTTTATTCTGTTTGGCCTGTAAAGYACTGAATAATTAATTAGCATTCCTTGAAGGAATGCATATTCCCAGCTGTCTTGCATGTCAAAGATTTGGACACATATCTTGCATTATGTTAGCTCTTATAATAAGTGATGGGAATGACTCTAGCTGTTACCACACCAGATTTAGATTCAAAATATTTAAACCCGAAGAGGTTACAATGTGTTTGCAATGTTGATTGGCTATGGCAACCATATTAACATCCAAAAGTTTATTTCATCTGTTCAARGTGTTGTTTATTAATTTTGCAGCAGTGGAGCCCATAGAACTTCCTTCAGTCCTTCACAATAAGATTCTCAAAGGCATATACTGAGTGTTCATTTTAAAATTACTTCTAAATCACCTGAAGCTTAAAAAAATATTATTTTTCCTTATTATTTTCTAGTAAAACCCATACTGCAGCTTAAACCTTTAAGGATTTTCATTTACAGGTTGTGTTTGACTCCAGGCCCTTTAAACTCAATAAGGACAGCAAAAAAAATGTTTTCTATTTTCTGATCCACAGTAGTAATTTGTGATGGAAGAAGTCAAAATACATAAAGCAGATGGGTCAAAATTGCCAGGAAAAWAGCAGCACACTATCTAATGATAACATTTGTTGCTGTTGGATAAATGTTTGTGTTTCCCGTGCTCTTGTTTTGTAGAACCATGAGTTCGTGGATGAACAGTATTATCAGCAGAGCTACTTGGAGGCGGGGCTGCAGAATTACCCATCCCGAAGCCCCTCCCTCTCCAGCCAGGAAGGCGTGACGGGGACGTGCTGCACCCGCCGAAGTAAGAAGCGCCACAGCCCTTTACCGAACGCCAGCGCTCCAGCACACATGCAGCCTTTGACACACACGCACACACACCAACAAGGTCTGCAGGAGCTCAGCGCCATCCACATCCAGCCCCTCAGCACCAGGTACCGTCCACTGAAACGCACAGACATACTTCATCTGAGATCTGAGGATCAATAATGTTTTTTTTTTTCTTGTCTTGTGTTTGGACTATTTGTTTTTGATCAGTTCTGTCAGGAAACAGCTTCATGCGTAATTTCTAACCATACTCACTGCATTTTAATGATTAGAAGATTAACAGCTCCCTACCATGCCATACCATTATCCTAATTACCCACCATATAACTAATGGCAAATGACAGGTGGTAAATTTACTCTCAGAAATCTCTCATAATAAAATGCAATTTGTCACTTTGAGAGAAGTTATTTAGAACTAAACCAGATGTTGTTGTTGTTTTTTTCATATAGTTTTACTTTGAGTTCCTGGCAGTTTGGGACAGTTACGTTTCAGCATAAACAAAATGTTTGTAAGCTTTTTTAAAATTTCTTTAAAATATCTAAAACATCATTATATTTCAGATAAATGTAGAAAAGAATGTGGTTAATAAACACAGCATATAGTTTTCTACAAGTGTAATACTTTTATAATTCAATTAATTATAAATCAGCTTTTTCAAATTTGAGACTTAGAGTTTTGTCCTGATGTTTGACAAAGAGAGTTCCTCGGAGGACATCAGGAAAAAAAAGTGCCGGTGATGTTCAGCAGAACAGGTTGCAGATCGTGTATAAAAGTCACTGCGAATGCGTTTCACCCAACAGAGGAAGTTTAAGACGATAGTTAATCTTTTACGAGAAGTATCCCAGCGATCGCTCCAAGAACAAAGTGTGCGATAGTCTGTGAGGTCAAACCGGAGAGCAGCTATTTCAAGCAAATAAATAAGCTCTTTTGTGTTGTTTTATTAATGAGTTCTCCACTAAAGGAACACTGAATATAAACAGTGAGTTATGGCAGGGCAGCATGGAGAAACGTGTGGCAGAGATGAGCTTCATGTGATGGGAAATACAAATTATCTCATCATTCAAACTGAAAAAAAAGACAAACATTAAAAATCACCTAGCACTGTGCATTGTTAAATATGTTTTGAATTAACTGGTATAAAATATAATAAACAAAGTGGTGAAATATATTTATTTCCCTACCTGATAAATGTATTTGGACTATTTTCACATTTGACTGAATCCACAAATTCATAGGAAATTCTGTTTTATTTAAAGGTGGTTCTGATTTCTCTACCAGCCACTGCTGTATTGCTTCAAGTTTCAGGTCTTGCTTCACATGGTTCACACTAAGTCATTGTTTCTTGTTTACGTGAGTAACTATCACTGCTGAAATCACCTCAAATGAAGCTTTTAACTTCCCCTCAGCCCCAGATGCTCGGAGACAAAAGCCAATCCCCCTGAAGCTTTGTCCCTCTTCTGGCAACAAACATTTTCTCTGGGATTATCCTAATCCGCGATTTGCTATCATTTCTCCTGCAGCCGCTCCAGTCTAAACATGCGCATAGATGAGCCAGCCCCTCTGAACTGCCAGAGCAGCCAGATCACCACAGCAATCATCAGCATTCCCACGCCGCCAGTGACGACTCCGGAGGGCGACGCCCATCTGCCCGCCGGCCCCGCCCACCAAAACATTGTGAAGGTGTCCGCACTGTGAGGACTTAAGGCTGCAGGCAGGCGCATTACACACAAAAAAAAAAGACAGATAAAAGACTCACTGAGGCCAACGAGGGACAAGAGAGACGTGAGAATCAATGGAGGAGGAGGAGGGGAGGGGCTTTCAGAGACCCTGTCCTGCCCTGGTGGAGCCTGCCCTCTGCTGGTCACACCCTGTATTGGCATGGACTCCATGTACACATGAAGGATGGCTTTTAAATACAGGATCTTTATGTTAGTGGTTGGCAAACGTGTGTGTGTATGTATGGAGTGAATAAGGAGCCATTTAGAATGAGGTATTGAATGTGTGTTTGTGAGTGTGTGTGTTCCTAGAAACAGGTTATGTGTTATTGTACACAAAGCACCTTTTTTATAATTTATGACCAATTTCACTCCTATTTTAGCAGGAAGTTTAAGAAAAACTCAGTAGGGAAATGGGGGTAAAAATGCAATCAAATTTATTTCAACCTTTCATGTCACTCTGGTCCTCTGATCTCCTGATAGATAAATACGTCTCTGTTCCTTTATTGGTCCAATATTAGAACAACTGAGTATAAAATCAGAAGAAACATGTGAGGTAGGTGTCTGTGATGGCATTACCAACTAGTTTCATATTTGTGAAGGAGGTTGTGAGTTTTAGATAGAGGAAGTGTTGTGTGTCTGAAAGAAGGTGTGCAATGTGTGTGTGTGTGTGTGTGTGTGTGTGTGTGTGTGTGTGTGTGTGTTTCAGGGTAACACTGAGGAGGAGAAACGTTTAAGCAAATCTACCTCTCTAATAGAGAGCCAGCATCACCACCTGCTGCACTGTCTGGAAAAAACCACTGTGAGTGCACACAGGCTTTTTTCTTTCAGTAAACGTTGACATTGGCTTTAGTCTTAGTTTCTCAGGAATCACACTAAATGTTAAGTGTGTTCACAGTGAGTTCTAAGATTCATTTAATATATCTCTATAAGACTTTTGGACTCTTTTAATGTCATATCTTTCAATCTTCTTTTGCTTTATTTTTTTTATAAAAGACTTGAAGTTGAATGAGTTGGTCTCTTAATGTTTTTAGGGCCATTCTTAATCAGTTTGTACTTGAGACATTTATTTGTAAATGTTTTAACGGATTTTGTACTCTATTTTAGTCCTATTTTACCTTTTATGCGTGTTTCTTGTTTTTCTTTTACTTATCATTAAGTATTTTAATGTAGTTTAATATCTATAGTTTTGAATTTTGTAATGTCTGTGTGCTGCTGCCATTCTTGGCCAGGTCTCTCTTGACAAAGAGAGTTTTAATCTCAGTGAGTTCTACCTGGTTAAATAATGGTTAAATAAAATAAAATAAAAACATTTTATCCTCCACCAACTCTTGAGGGAGCTGATGAGTCTAYAATATTATACATCTTTGACTGACCTATTTTGTAGCCATGTATTGCATTNTGTGTGTGTGTGTGTGTGTGTGTGTGTGTGCGTGTGTGTGTATGTGTGTTGTCCTCTCATTTGAACCTGTGTTTCAGTTCTTCTGGAAGTCTCTAGGCTCAGTATGTGATATATATGACTAGCTGTCACTCAGAAAGGGTTCATTGCACTTGTTTCTATCCAAAATTCTCAGCTACAAAACTTCTACACAGTTTGTGCCTATTTTGCCAGACTTACAAAAAAATTGTTTTTAAAATCATTTGGATTTCTCCTTATTTTTACTCTTAGCTTTTACAGCCCAGTTGACGTTCAATGACTTATTTCACACAGAAACTTTAAAAAAGAAAAGAAAGCTTATTTTGAATCCTCCACAATCAAAAAGCACAAGACATTAGCTGAGAATTTTGGACACAAATCAGCCCTGAGCCTGTGATCTTTGTGAATATTGTTAATAGACTATTTTGTAATATTTACCATCGTTTGGCAGAACCAGTGAACCTGTCCTCTTGTTCTCACGCTCTTCACTCTCCTCTTTCTTGTTGTCGTCCCGTTGTATCTCTGAGTTCTGTGTGGACAACGCTATGCTTTCTGCAGTCTTTATAGCTGTCGCTTTTTTTGTTTTGTTTTGTTTTGTTTGTTTTGGGGGTTTTTTTCCTCCCAAAAATCTCAGCGAGCATTTTTCAGAGTTGTTAGGTATGTGTATTCTGTGTGGTTAGCAAACTTGGTGTTTGTACTTTTTGTCCTTCCTTGATGTTTCAAAGGATTTTTTTTACTTTATCTTCTTGAGACTTAAAAACAGGGAAGCCTGATGTAAAGGTGACCACAGAGACACGGAAGACCCTGAATGAACCATCCACAGATCTGTCACCAAAAAAAAAAACATGCTGTTCTGCCTGTTCTTCCTCCAACACCTTACAGTGACCGTTCAGCTGGTTTGAAGTGGGGTTCTGTAGAAATGTTATGAACAGTTAATACCTTACCTGATGTACATTGTTTTTTTAAACAACCTAAACTTGGAGAAATGGAGTTACTCATTAAAGACAGTCATGTTACGATAACTAATTATATTAACTAGTCTGCTGATTCTTAACAAAACTTTTTTTATTGATTCATAATCTTCCATGTTCGAGATGTAATACATTTAAAAATACTGTCAATTTTACTTCCAACCCCAGTTTTATTCCTGTTGGAAATGTAGTGGTCACCTAGGGGTGGAATTAACATTTCCACCTGACTTTGACCTTAGTCACAGAAGGCCTCCTTTAAAGAGACAGAACTCTGTTCATTTAAAGTCATAACATGTTTTCTTAAACAGCAAAGAGGCATTTCCTTCTTATTAATCTGACAATAAACAATAATCTTCTTTTATTCATAATTTTATCAATGTATAAAAAAGAAAACACAAAAAGAATGTTATTAAAATGTTTATTGTGCTTGATGTAAATCACAGCTTGAGCTTTAATTGTGAAACCACAGTAATTGATTATAGATTTTTTAGTTAAAATATTTTACTTAGCTAAACTTTGCATTATAGTTAAGTTTTATTTTGAAACATTTTATAATTATTTTTATATGAATCCTTATAATGAATGTTCTGTATGAAATAATTCATTTTTAAGTTTTCAGTAAATAATTCTTTTTGTGTTTTATTTTTTGATAAAATTTTGATAAAAGGATGAATAAAAGAAGATTATTGTTTACATGTACAGCTAGCTGTTGCTGCCACTTTTAACAATAAAAAATTATGTGACAGTCATAAGTGAATACATACATATATACATTTTATATATACAGTTGTGGTCAAAAGCTTACATACACTTGTAAAAAAACATAATGTTATGGCTGTCTTGAGTTTTCAATAAGTTCTACAACTCTTATTTTTCTGTGATAGAGTGATCGGAACACATACATGTTTGT